AGGCGGCTCCTCGGCGCTGGGCGTCAGCCCCAGGCTGCTGCACTCGCCCTCCGGCTCCTGCAGGCCGTCGGCTGGAGCTGGCGGGAGGGAAGAGGAAAGGGGGAAAACAAGAAAGAAATGGGCAGGAAAGGGAAGTTCTTTGTGCTTGAACGGGTTTTCTGGATTTCGGAGAGCACCCCTGTCCTCCCTGAGGCCATCCCAGGCTCCGCCTGCGCACGTTCATCCCTGCTGCGGGTGCCTCTTCCCCAGGTCTCTCCCATTCCCCGGCTTTCATCTGTGGCTCCTGGCAGCACAGAAGCCCAGGTGAGCTCCCGTGCCACCTCGGCTCGGGGGGATCTGGCTCCTACCAGCCCCATCCCTGCGTGGGGGCCAAGCCCCGGGGATGTGCGAGCCCTCGCCGGGGCACGGGCAGGGAACGCTTCCTCTCCTGCAGCCATTCAAACCATCTCCCAGAGGCACCAAATCACGGGGGAAACACCCGCCCTTGCCCTGAGCAGGGACACACAGGGGTCCGGTGCCCCCCAGGGACATGAGCTGCCCGGGCTCCCGGGCTGGATTGCCACCCCTTCCCCGTGACACTGCCCCCAGCGAGGCACGCCAGGGACGCCAGCGGAGCACAAAAGCTCATTTATTAATGCTCGCGGTGGCGTTTATGCCGCACTAATCACAGCCCTCCAGCAGCTGACCGTGGCGGGATGCTCGGACACGAGGCTGCCGGGGGGTCGGGATTTAATCAGGCTCTTCAGGACGCTGCAGCCACGGCAGGGCTGCGAACACGAACGCCGCTGCGCTCCCGGGAACCGGCCAGGATGCTCACAGCGGCAGCCCAGGCTGCCGGCGCGGGACCCTCCTGCACCCCCCTGCCCACGTACCTGTGCTGCCGGGCTCCCCGCTGCCCTCAGGGCTGGGGGCGAAGTCGGCTGTGCCGTCCCGGCCGGTGGCCACCGCTGCAGCCCCCACCACCTTCTGCTTGTTCTTCATGGCCTCGATGGCTTTCAGCCTCCGTGCGTGCTTGTGGCCCTTGTAGTGAGCTTCTGCCTGGTTCTGGGGGGGGGAGAGACAGGGACAGCGTGTCGGTGCTGTGGCTAGACAGACGGATGGACACAGGGAGGATGGGTGAAGGGGTCAGCCCCGGGCTGTGGCCGCTAGGAGACGTTGCCAGTGCAGCCGCCTGCCCCGGTGGCATTCATCCCCAGGGCCACCTCGGAGGTGGTGGTTTTGGCAGGGTGCAGCGCAAAGCTGCTTCCCTCCTCCTGCCAGATTGCTCCGCACACAAATGTATTCCAGCCGAGGTATCACTTCGCTACGACATCGCCGCATTGCACGGCCGAGATAAGGACCCTGCTCTGATTAAATGCATCGAGGCACTTTTAAAGGCAGCTTTCAGGCAAAATTTATGACTTTGGAAACATACAAAGCATTGCTAGCTGGAAAAATAAAATAAAAAAGCCCGTCGGTGGGGAGGACACGTCCCCCGCTGTAACCTAACGGGTGTTTAACGTGTGATTTGCATTCCCGGGCTCCCTTCTCCCAGCCAAGGCGGAATAATGAAGTGCACGTTGATGGGTTCACGCCTGCACCGAACTGATAAAAACAGACACAAAAGAAAATCACCCGAACATTTGTGTCCTGTGCAGTTGGGGACAATGCCACATTGTCCCCCAAAACAACGGCAGTTTAGCAATTTATGGAAACTGAATCCACTAGGAATGAAGACCCCCGTACCACGCAGCAGCGTGGATTAATTTGCACGGCGGTTTCAGAGGCTGGCTGAGGCTTCCCGCACTCAGTAAGAAAAAGCATCCCTTCCCTCCCCCCGCCACTTTCCAAGGGCTGGGAACGGTGTCCGGGGCCGTGCAAGCGATGGCCGGGTACGTGGGAAAGCGAAAGGCGCATCCAAGCGCGGGGCCTCATTAGCAAAGACAATAAACTTCCCCCAGCTCGTGGGGCTGGGACGGGGCTGGGCTGCAGCCTAAGTAGGTCACCCGGCGCCGGCGCAGAAATACAAGTGGCGTGCAAGGGTCCACGCCAGGACATGCTCCCCTGAAGATCTGACCTCGGGAGGCAGTGAGGGGAACATTGGCAGGGATGGGCAGAGTGGGGGCAAGCAGCACAGGGCACGTGGTGGGACTGATTCTCCCGGCACCGCTCTTGTAGCCGGGATGCAGCTGGGACCAGGAAAGCCATGCTTTGCCCCAAGCTGCTTGGTTGCGGAGCAGAATAATTAAGCCCCGAACCACTGACTTTTGCTGGCAGAGCAGCACCCAGCCCCAGGCTCTGCTGATACAGCTTGGCCAGGCTGGGACGGCACCTCCACAGGAGGCAGAGCCAGCCCGGCCAGGGCGCAGCATCCGGGTGGGTGCAGCCACCCCGGGGGAGGCCAAAGCAGCTCGCCTGCGCTGCCGGACACCAGCAGATGGGACTCAGCTCGGGGGCATCCTCCTGTGGGTACAGGGGCTCAGCACTGCCTTGATCCCCCAGGAAGGGACAGCCCAGGCCAGGGGATGCTCCCAGGCTGGCAGCTCTATAGGTGATGCTGGAACATGTCCAGAGGAGAGCAACGGAGCTGGTGTGGAGCCCAAGGGTGATGGGGAGAGGCTGGGGGAGCTGGGGGTGTTCAGCCTGGAGAAGAGGAGGCTGAGGGGAGCCCTCATCGCTCCCTACAACTGCCTGGCAGGAGGGGGGAGCCAGGGGGGGTCGGCTCTGCTCCCAGGGAACGGGCGATGGATGAGGGGAAACGGCCTCAAGTTGTGCCAGGGCAGG